ACCTCCATGTCCTCTCTAACTGCATCCATATAGCTCCTCTTTGGTCTTCCTTTCACCTTTGCTGACACCATTTTGTCACAAATCACTCCTAAAACTGTTTCAGCAGCCTCCCTCTCATTCACACACATGTACTCTGTCTTACTATGATTTTCCATTCCTCTTCTTTCAAGTGCATACCTCCACCTCTCTAAGTTCTCTTCCACCTCTTCTCTGTTCTCACCACAGATCACGTCATCTGCATTAAAAAAGGCTGAATTTAAATTCATTAAAACAGGGGGGAAAAGTCCATAAATTGGAGTTATATAATAAAAATAATTTGATCTTATCGTCTGTATGTTAATGCTGATGGACAAGAGGGACAAAGAAAACATAAAAAAGTTGAACCTTCACATTTTGTTCTGATGTCATTTGAACTTTTAATGTTTCAACTCACTCACTCTTCTCCCTTTCCCTCACCTGAGATGACTGCATCACCGTTGAGGAACATGGTGATTCCCAGCAGCATGAGGATGCCAAGAACCAGGATGTAGGGCCTCCGCCTGCCCCACGACGAGCGGCAGTAGTCGCTGGTGGAGCCGATGATGGGTTGGAGCAGGAAGCCCAGGATGGGACTGATCAACCACACCAGACTGTACATACTGCGAGGCAGGCCGACGCTAAGCAGCACCGGTGTGACGAAGGCTGCCTCCACAGCGTAGCAGAACTCCCTCCCGAACATCACAAGGCTGTGGAGGATGAGGCAGCCTCGAGAGCGTCGTGGGGGCTCTACGGCTCCAAACACAGCATCCTCCCCACTGTCCAGGTAGTCCTCTTTGGAGCCAGGGTAGTCCATTGTGTACTGGTGCAATGATGTGCTGATGTGCTTGCCTGGCTCTGACAGCGCATAGGGCTGGGGCCTCACAGACTGGTCCCCAGACAGCAGGGTCATAGTGGAAAGCAGGGATAGAAAAGTGAAACTAGGGAGAGAAAACCAGAAGAAAGTTTGACAGAAAATTGTTGGAATAAGTAAAAAAAAAAAAAACCTGACAGTACAACCTTCCTCAGTCAGCTAGGTGGAGGTTAAATAGCCAAAAACTAAATCTGTGCGGCTCGGCTCAGTTAATCCTCTTCTCTATCGCATAGCTGAGCAACGACTCCCAGATCCAGTCAGCATTACTTAACAAGTAAAAGACTGTTCTGTGGACTGAGCACAGCAGAACGGGACTTAAAGAGGGAGGAGAAGGGGGAAAGTGGGTGTATATGCAGGACTATGGTGCGTAGACCCCCCCCACTTTGATATCTGAAGTAGTAAACACACCCGAGCAGGTCATGTGAGCGCATTGGAAATAGTGAGATTGTAATAGTGATTCAAGAAAAACTGAAAATCAAAGAAACTACTTGTTTCTTACACATTCCTCTGACAGCACACGAGGCTTTTGTGCTTTTAGACGTCACTTTGGCAAATTTGACTCTGAATGAACCAACAATATTTCACATTTTTTCACTTGTAAATGGGATTTTAGGATGCGGGCCAGCCTTTGCCGTGGGACATGTTGGACAAAATATGAAACGCGTGTAAAACCGTGGCTTCAGAAGGCTAATTTATAAAAGCAGATCTTACAAAATTCATTTAAAAAAGGGCACAGATTGTTCAGCAGTTATTGGTATGAATGACATGCTGATTTAGTTTCTATTTTTGCGGTGGATGCATATATTTACTCACTATATTCACTCATATTCTGATGCATCAGATCAGCTGATATTTGGTGTATAGGTAGTTTACACATTATCGGTTTAATAGGTTGGTTATAAATACATTTGTATCTGCAGATAAATCAAGAGCAAACATTCAGTTTGGCTGCAATCAAAAGTAAAACATTAAAAATTTATTTGAATTCTGAATATTTTTCATGTGCACCATCAAAACAAACTCAAAATTTCAACTTTACCAGCCATTAAATGTTTATTTTTGTGCAACTCAGTGGGGTCCTCCTGAGCTCAGTTTTATCTACAATATAGGGATATACCCACAGCAGTCCTTGCAGACAAACAGATCCTGTTGTACCAAAATGAACCGTCTTTAAGGTTTCAAAAGCAAAAGATGTGTTTAAATTATTTAGTAAAGCTATTTAATATGTAGTCTGGGGTGGTCAGTGCTGTAGTTTTGTTATTCTGAGTCTGCAGATTTGAGCTCAAGTTGTGTCAAGAACGGCATCATGCATAAAACATTTGCCAAATCTATCATGTTCACTCGCTCTGGTGACCCCTGCAGCGAGAGAGGGAGCAGCTGAAAGAAAAGCACTTCCTTTTTTTAAATTTAGGTGTAGAAAGAGAAATAATTTCTAAGTTATTTGACTGGATGAGCCTTGTCAAAAAGTGACTGGGCCTATAACCTGCTCGACCCTGAAGGCATCGCTCCAGCCCGACATCTAACTCATTCTGTTTACCAAGTATGTTTAATGATTTGTGAACTAAAAAACAGCTTTCTAGAACTGGATGAACAAGTGGTTCAACATTTTTTATTGGAACAAAATGTAATTTTACCACATTGCATGACTACGTTTTATAATGTGTCCGCAAGCAGTCCAAAAATATGAGGTTGTTTGCGCTCCATATCAGGTGTGAAAACCTGTTGCACTAGTGTGAACATTTTGCTAGACTGTACCTTTACAAATACAGACCACAAACTATTAAGTGTAAATTCCTCAAAGTGTTCTTTTAATCAGCTTGAACCATATTATAAGAACAAATTTGTTTCTAAAGTGCCTCCAAACTTCTTTTTTTTTCATTTCCCCTTTATTTATACAGGTAGTCTCATTGAGCCACGAGAACTCATTTTCAGGAGAGACCTGTTTAGGGAGCAGATGGGGATTAAGGGCCTTGCTCATGGGCACAGAGTGTGGCGAATGAGGGTGGGAGCAGGTGTGGGTGCGTCTCCTACCCCACCCATATTTTGGATGTTGTCGGTGCCGGGGCTTGAATCGGCGATCTTTCGATCACAGGCCCACCTTCTCTAACCTTTGTGCCACCACTCCCCCCCAACAGTCTCTCTAAAATGAACGGAGTAATTTTTACTCTGTAGAACAGGGGTCTGCAAACTGCTTTTCTTACTAATTACGATGTCCGGAGCTACAAAACCTGCTACAACTGTGTACTGTCAATTGGTGGCTCATGGACCACTACAAGTGTGCTGGAGATGCAACATTTTTCAGTCAGATGATCTGGACAGTTTCTTTTTTTGTGCTGAAACGTTTCACCTTGGATCCGGAAGGCTTCATCAGTCAAGGAAACACACAACAAAAGTGATTCTTCCCCCAACAGCTTACTCCAAAGTGGAACAAACCAGTTATGTTGGCGCTAAGATGGTCTCTTTGGCACGCCCCCTCCTCCATTGCCAGCCCTCTTCCTTGTTGACAGTCGTGTTCTATTTTTGTGGTGGATGCATATATTTATTCACTATATTCACTCATATTCCAATGCATCAAATCAGCTGATACTTGGTATATAGATAGTTTAAACATGATCAGTTTAATAGGTTGGTTAAAAATACATTTGTATCTGCAGATAAATCAAGAACAAACATTCAGTTTGGCAGCAATCAAAAGTAAAACATTAAAAAGTGATTTGAATTCAGAATATTTTTCATGCGCGTCATCAAAAATAGTTGTGTCGCTGTTGGGGGAAGAATCAGTTTTGTTGTGTGTTTCCTTGACTGATGAAGCCTTCTGGATCGAAGGTGAAACGTTTCAGCACAAAAAAAAGAAACTGTCCAGATGACCTGACTGAAAAATGTTGGATTGTATATCTGGATTATTGAGCATGGACTTTGTTGTGTTGGAGATGTTTTTTCTGGCCAGTGGGGGTGATATTATAAAATGAAAAATGTCTAACTATTATTAGCGTTTATTGATATTTTTACATTTTAATACAAAAGAAAAGACCAGATTCATGTAAAGAAAGAAATATATATAAGTTTTAACAATTTTATAAAAAATTAAAACACTGAACGCTGCAGGTCGGTGTTAGTTCTCTTAATTGTTGAAGAATTAGGTACTCCACTTAAAGCACTAAGTTAAAGACAGGATAAAATTAGGCCAGTTTGTTGGATATCCAGTTACATTTTTAAAAACAAATACTTTTGTTTACTTTGTCTTTGTTTTGTGTGTTTTATTCTTAGTGTTATCAGAGTTACTTGTCAAATTCCTTCTCAGCAACTTGTCTTAAAGATATTCCAAAACATTCTGGTGGTTTTGAGAGAATCATCACGCTGTGAGACTGGAAGTTGACTTAAAGTGGCTAACAAACTGCTAGCATGATGTAGTCCATGTTTTACACCTTGTATTTGTACTAGTCTTCACATATTGGAAAATGACAGGAGATGTGCTAAAAATAGCCATTTACATTGTTGGCAATAATTTAACTAAAACTAAAATTCTTTAACTCGTCCCTCACCCTTGCAACTGTTCCCACCTGCCTGAAAACCACCACCATCATCCCAGTTCCTAAAAGCTCTGCAGTGACTGGTCTGAATGATTACCAACCAGTAGCCCTCACCCCGATAGTCGCTAAATGCTTTGAAAGACTGGTCTTGGATCACATCAAAGCTACCATCAACATTATTGAGGACCCTCACCAGTATGTATACTGCAAAAATCAATCAACAGAGGATGTCATCTCCCTTGTGGTCCACACTGCTCTCACCCACGTGGAACAAAAGGACTCCTACGTCCGTATGCTCTTTGTGGACTTCAAATCTGCTTTCAACACTATGATTGTCCAGACCCTGATGGACAAACTACCAGTACTTAACTAGGACTAAGCCCCTCCTTATGCAACTGGATCCTGGCCTTCTCAACCAACAGACAACAGTCAGTGAGGATCCACAACTTCTCCTCCTCCACCATAACCTTAAGCACTGGCCCCATCCAGGCTGTTTGTTGAGCCCCCTTATGTCCACTCTGCTCACATATGACTGTGCACCTACCAATCCAGGCTGCCATATTGTAAAGTTTGCAGATGATACAGTGGTGGTGGGATGCATCACAAACAATGAGTCCGGCTACAGGCAGGAGGTGGAACACCTGGAGAGCTGGTGCAGGAAGAACAACCTTCACATCAATGTGAAGAAGACGAAGTAGATGGTCGTGGATTTGAGACGGAGCAAACACACCTACCCCCACAAACATAGGAGGATTTGTGGTGAAAGTGGTCTCCAGCTACAATTACTTGGGTGTACACCTGAATGACAACCTCAGCTGGAGCAACAACACCACCAACCTGATCAAGAAAGCTCATCGGAGACTCTACTTCCTTATGCGTCTGAGGCGAGCTGGACTTGGAAGCTCAGTCCTCACCTCCTTCTACAGGTGTGCATTGGAGAGCATCCTGTGCTCCAGCATCAACGTGTGGCATGGAGGCTGCACAGCTGCGGACAGAAAAGCTTTGCAGAGAGTGGTGAAGGCTGCACAGAAGTCTGTTGGAGTCAGTTTCCCCACCATCACAGTCATCTACACCTCAAGATGCAGGAAGAGAGCGACCTGCATCATGAAGGACCCCACTCACCCAGCACACACACTTTTTGCCCTGCTTCCGTCAGGCAGGAGGTTGCAGCGCAGTAAGTGTAGAACCACTAGACTGAGGGAAAGCTTCTTCCCTGAAGCTGTTAGACTCATGAATTCCTAACCAGGATAATCACTGTGAAAAAAAATTATTACATTATTAGTATTTATCTTAGATCTTAGATCCTTTAGTATACCATTTGGCGTTCGTTGAGCGTATATCTTAAGTTTATATCTTAGATCCTTATATACTGTTTCTTTTTACACTTTATATGTTTGCTTTTGTTGGGTGTAACTGGGACCTTGTGTACATAATTTCGTTCCACCTCATGTACCACATGTGGTGAGAACGACAATAAACCTACTTGATACAAGCTGTGATTAACTAACAACCCCTGCCTAG